AGGCGAAAAGGGAATGGCGTATATCAGTCATTGTCGCGGACTGCGCGACAGACTCCTTCGATGCGGTGGATCGATATCTGAAGAATCCTTTATCACTGTAGTCATCATTGGTGCTCCACTTGAGCTATTCTCCGAGCCCACGGAAAAATCTCCGAAGCGGCCCTCTGCGCTGAAATCCACGCCGAACAGCAGGACATGGACCTGCACGAAGAACGTCACAAGAGAAGAACGACAGCATCTGAGTTCGCGTTCCACACTCAACGGCGCTACAACAACAACAACCGACAACATGAGCACCAAGCACGACAACACGTACCGCCGTTCTGTCATCTCTGCAAGACGTCAGGACATCCTTGCACTCACTGCCCAAATCAGCAGCACCCAACACCACCGCGATGCCAACTTCGACCTTCAAGCAGTCAGGTGGCTTCTACGCAGGCGCATCTCACCAACCAAGTGCAGTCTTCAACGACAACGACGACACAACCTGCACAAGGATCAAGAAACATAGTGAGCTGCATGGCAAGAACAGACTCCTGCATCACCAAATCACCACCGACCTACTCACCAGAGGAACTGCTCGACGAAAGCACCCCTCGCCGCGAACCACTGGAGCCGAACCCGACGTACGCAGCCATTGCCCAGAGCGAGCCGCCCAGGAAAGACACCTGTTTCTTAGACAGCTGCTGCGGATAGCACATGTGCTCATTGGGTCGTTTCGTTCAACGAGAATAGCAGCTTCACCACAAAGCCGTAGTCACTATCGCCAATAACCAGAATATGCACACACGACGACAAGGGGTAGTTCAACTTCAGTCTCGAGAAACCAACGATATTATTTTGAAGGTTTTAATCGCAAAAAGACTTGGCTACAACTTACTCAGCGTTAGTCAACTGATGGCGAAGGGAATACATCTCGAAGCCGACAGCACCACACAGGAGTTCAAGCTGTACAACAGGAAGGGTGGACTCTACATCGGGAAGGCAGTACTGAAGAACAATGCCTTCGTCCTCGACTTCGTTCCAGATCAAGGCACCGCCGACAGCGATGGAATCGTCAACTTCACCTCTTGGACACACCCGCCAGATCTCGACCCCAACTTCAGTCCCGGAGGCTTCTGGTACTCGCACACTATACCTGAAGCAGAATGGACGAGAGCGTTAGCGACAATCCAACAGACAACAGGAGAAGCAGACACAAGACCGGCAGCAGCAGAGACAACAACGGCAGCAGCAGAAACAACACTGGCAGCAGCAGAGACAACACTGGCAGCAGCAGAGACAACACCGGCAGCAGCAGAGGAAACACCGACTACGACACCAATCGCGGGTCCTTCAACAGCACCAATCTTCATCGACGACACTCCACCGACTCCCGTACAACAGCTGACTCCCACTCCACGCGAAGTCCACAGAAGTGCCAACTTCACCACCGGCTTCTACTCCAACTCAGACATGTACAGGTGATCACCCGGACATCGCGCCAGCGAATCAATCTGGCATGCAAGAATGGGACACCCGAGCAACACAACATTAAACAACACAATAAGAGCTGGAGTACTTGACAAGGATTCACTGCTACTAAACGGCGGGAGAGAAATTCAACTAGTTCGCGGAACATGTTTTACTTGCCCTGAAGCCGACTTACCCCACCAGCCGTTCGTCTCTTACCACAACCCGAGCGCACCAGCATACGCGCCACTTGAGAAAGTCTACAGCGACATATTGTATGCCCGTGAAAGCATATAGGGAGCATACAACTACGTCATCACGTTCATCGACGCCGCCACCCGATACGTCCGGCACCTCAATCTTCCGAGTTGCGATATGGCCTTCGAAGCTTTCGTCGCCTGGCTTCCAGGAGCAGAACGGGAATCGGGAGTAATGCTAAAAAGCTTCCAGCCAGACGGGGGAGGGGAATATTAGTCACAGAGGTTCAAGCAATACCTGGTAGAAAGAGGCATCAAGCGACTCATCTCCCTTCCCTACGCTCATCAGCAGCAAGGCGTGGCAGAAAGGATGAACAGGACCCTCAGACCACCATGCGCGAGCTCCTACGTGGCATGCGGCTACCCAACCACCAGTGGCCCGAGGCGATGCACCACGCTGTAATGCTGCACAACTTGCTCTCGACATCATCGCTCCCGAACAACGCATCACCGCATGTGCTGTGGACAGGAAAAATGGGCAGCATAAAAATGTTACGAGAGTTCAGTTGCATGGTACAGTACCGAACCCCTGCTGCACGAGCCGGCTGATTCTCCCAACGCGCACAATAGGGGCTACACCTGGGCATAAAAAAACACTACAACATCCACACGAAGGAAACAGTGGCAGCATGTAATGTGATCTTCTACAAGCGCCTCACCCTTCAGACGTACGTGGACAACCTGGAAGCAGAACGAGATGTCACCGGCGAATTTCGTGGGGACCGAGCCTTCGCTTCGGCAGCAGATGAAGCTGACTAGGATGAGCAGAACATGGACGGAGCTTCGTAGGAAGCCGGACCTCTTCCCTACTGTTCGGTGGACATCCCAATGGATGACGACAACCCTTGCGAAAGCATCAACGCCGAAGTCTACAACGACTTCGCCGACAAAGGTTACCTTACACCCCAACCGGTCAACACCAACATTTCCGAACGCTTAGGGCCCAATTTCTTACCTGATCCAGAAGCGGTAGATGAAGCAGCTTATCCCGAGGACCCGAAGCTTCCCCGAATCTTCTCCAGATACCCTGCCTTGTCACCGCCGTCCACGGAGCTTCGCCGCCGAAGGAGCCTACTACAGTTCAGCAGGCTCTGGGGGGGGGAGCACAGGGAAAAATGGCGCGAAGCCATGGAGAGAGAGCTAAAAGCACTGGAAGAACGCAACACCTGGTAAATCGTACCCATTGGAGTGGCACGCAACATAACCGTCCTCACGGGAAAATGGGTCTTCCGCGTGAAAACGAAAGCTAACAGAACGATCGATAAGTTTAAGGCGCGCTGGGTTGTACGCGGCTTCGACCAAGAGCATGGACGAGACTTCACCGAAACCTTCGCACCGGTTAGCCGACATACCTCTCTCCGAATTCTCCTCGCGATAGCCGCCATGAATCGGAAGAAGCTCCGCCAAATCGACGTCGCCAACGCCTTTCTCTACGCCCCCGACGATGCCGAGATCTTTGTCGAGCAACCGCACAGGTCTAGCACAGTCCCCAACCAAGTCTGTCAACTGCTGAAATCCCTGTACGGCATCAAGCAAGCCCCGAGGCTGTGGCAGCAGTACCTACACTCCCGACTAATCCGCATCGGATTCCGCCAACTGCCGCATGACCAAGGGATGTACCGACTCACGAAAGGCACCGACTACATCCTACTCATTGTCTACGTGGACGACTTGCTCTACATCAGTTCAACCGACGACATCACGACCTGGTTTGAAGGGGAGTTGCAGCAGGACCTCACACTCACCGTCTCCTCAACAGTCAAGCAGTACCTATGACTCAACATACAAGACGGGGTGAATGCGATTTACCTCAAGCCCAAGAAACTCGTGAAGCAGAAGTTCGAGTACTGCATGTTGCTGACTGGACAAGGCCACGTCACCAGCAACGACACTCCAGAAACGTAGGGGAGTGTTGGAAAAAAAGTAATTTAACGCTTCTGTTGTGCAGAAACATCGAACTGCAAACGAGGCAAATTACAGCGAAGCAACGGCGAGTCAACCAAGGAGGTTGACAAAACGTAACAGCTGGAGGTTACGCAAAGGTCAAAGGTCGGCGACCTTTGACTCGTCGAAAGGCAGCGCGACAGCAAGGACACACAACTGACCCGGTATTGAGCAGTTGCACGAGTCGTCGCTGTATCAAACCGCAACAGCAACAAAACAGTTAAAATGCATCTTTTCATACTTTCTTTAATCATATAAAACCTCGGTAACATTTTGCTAGAATCAATCTCTTGCTCTCACACACTAGTGCAAGGTGGTTCAACAGTTCACTAAGGGCGTATCCCTGGCTGGTGGCAGGGCCACTGTAGCTGGCAAGGTTGGTGGCAACTTTCCCAAGAACACAGGGGCCCGGAAAATGCGCATGCTACTAAGTGCCAGCTACAGTTGCCCTGCCACCACCCAAGGATACGCCCTAAGAACGCTTCCGCAATTACCGTCATCGCCCGGATGGAAGACATATATGTCTTATCTTATTAGAAAAAAAGCTTGCTGTGTCTTGTAATTGGGACGGTTTAGGGTGTCTTATAGTTCTTATAAATGGACAAAAAACCGTCTAGAAGATACCCCCTCGTCATAAGATTGCCCCTAACCCCTATACTGGCTCAACTCGTACACACCGACAGTTGTCTTATAATCAGGAACACCCATCTATAAGAAACACCCGTTTTAACGACACCCCCTGTCTTCAATTCGACACTGTCTTATATCCGGGCGATGACGGTACATCATCTCTACTCAGGGTCTTAGATTTGCAACGATCCTAAGGACCATTTCTCAGCCCAACACACTCAACTACACGTCCTAAGGAGCATTTTTTCTTGGGGATTGGCAAAGTCCATCAGCTTGGCCTCTTTTCCAGCCAGCTACCCATGCCATTCATAAAAGACCCAAGACTCATGGTGGACGTCTGCGAGATTGTGCCAGTCCCCGCAGAAGAGTCGGATGGGGTCTCATCCACTGCTTTAGCCGTTACTTCCTCTACTTCTGGCTGCTTGTCCGAGCAGTACCTATCAATGAGCGCTGTGAGGCGGTATGCAATATCCTTCATGTCAGGCCTGCGAGCGCCCGGCGATTTGATGCAGTCGAGAGCCAGGTCTACAATGGCAAGCACGGCCTCCTCGGTTGCGTCTAGCTTGCTGTCCTTCATGCCAATGACCTGATAGTCCTCCACCATCTTTGTTGCCTGGAATGAGTCAAAACAGCAGAACATGGGGAATGAGAACGAGAAGGCAACGCTAGCGCAAGAAGGAACCAGACCGCATGATACTGCCCATGTGTTTTGCGTACCCATGTTCGTATGTGTTTCTCTTCAACCCGAGGGGGCCTGCCAGTCACCAGTGCCAGAAGCACAATGCCAAAGCTGCAAGCAAGAGAGCAGTTGTGGGTAAGTTCAAGCTGCAAAACAGCCTTGATGCATACAGCTGATGCGAAAGATAACAATCAAATTGAAATCGTGCGAACGTCAACAGGGCACGTTTTACCCCAGAACAAACCCTACCTGAAGACATCGCTCTTGGTGGTAACCACGCGAGTGCGGTTGTACTCAGGGTCCACATAGCCGGGAGTGCCGGCCACTCTGGTCTGATTATCCTCCCCGTGAGTGATGCGCTTGAGCAGCCCAAAGTCAGCCACCTTGGCTTGCATGTCGGCCGTCACGAGGATGTTGGCGGGCTTGATGTCGCGGTGGATGATGGGCGTCGCAAACCCATGCAGGTATGCCAGCCCCTCCGCTGCTCCTTGCGCGATTCGCAGTCGGTCGCGCAGCGAAAGAGGGTCTGGAAGAGATGATAATCACAGAAATGGGTGCACATAGAGTGTTGCGGATGATGGGCACTTTGAACCCGTGCAAGTACGCGAGGTTTTCCGCTACTCCTTGCACCAGGTACTGTCACGGGGGGAGTGTGACAGGGACTGGAAGAGAGGACCATGAGATGAACACAACACAGAGACCCTGTCACCACAATCCCCTTGCTCACAGAGCAATACTCTTTGACGGCTGGCTGCGCTGGGCACCACTATGGAAGTTGCTCAGCCTTGTGACGCTCATACTGCGACTCACTCTCGCTCCTGTAAATGTGGTGCTGCAAGTCTCCGTTAGCCACAAACTCGTACACCAAGATCTGCTCCTGATTGCCCGTCTCCACGTTCAGATCCTGGCAGAAGCCCAGCAGCCGCACCAGATTCACATGGTGGAGAGATGCCATGGCCCGCACCTGCAGGTGACGCATTCAGAACAAAGCTGCCAAGTGCTTTCCGTTTCCAGACAACACATCTGCGTGTTATCCTCAGTGACACACTACGGCTAGAAATCAGCTTTCGCATAACCTAGTCGACGGAATCAGCAGCTGGTAAGGGCACGGGCGAGAACGGAACACAGAAAGCGAGAGAGCAGAAGTGAGCTGCTTTGCTGACATGCTAACGGCAGTGAGACGTGGTGAAGGGCCCCTTACCTCCATTTCAAAGTCGTTGGTCATCACAGTGGAGCGCTTGATGGCCCACGTCTGCCCCTGCGGCGAGAACCCCTTGTACACGATGCCAAAGGCTCCCTTGCCCAGCACGTTGCCCTTGGCCCAGTTGTCTGTTGCCTTCACCATCTGCTGCAGCGTGTACTGCTCACACACGTCCAGCCCCTCCCACTTCCCTGCATGTACTCAAAAGAGTGAAAAGGAAGGCGATTGGTGAAAGTCGGAGCTGCAGCTGCAGGAATCAAAGGTGAGTGGTGAGGTGACAGTCTGCACATATAGGCACAGCCTAGGAATAGACGTTACGGTGGGGGTCTCACTTGGTCCGCGGGGCCACAGCAGGCATGAGAGCACAGCAGCCAGCAGAACGAAGCCAGCAAAGCAGCCCACAGTGATGCCCACTATGGCGCCCGTGGAGAGCGAGGACACTGCCGAGGGGTGGTTGAGCAACGAGGGGGGAGGAGAGAGCGGAGGAGGTGAGAGCAAGGGTTACAGTACATTGTCTGGCTGCAAGCAGTTAGCAATGGCACATGTGGAGATGTAAAGCCATGGTTGCAGTAGAAATAGAAAAGCCTCCGATTGGAGTAGCTACTAGCTATAGATACGCATCGGAGTGGGGTGTAGTGGAGGAGTTGTGCTCTTACCACTAGAGCCGGCTTTCACAACGGCGCACGTGGAGCCGTTGCCCGAGTCGAGGGCAGAGAAGCCGGGACGGCAGACGCAGGTGAAGTTGGAGGGGGAGGCGGGGGCAGGCGGCACGCACTCCCCATGGCCGTCACACGGGCCGTTGTCCGTGATGCTGCAGAACGCCTGGCAGGCTGCCGTGCTGCGCTGGGTGGCGTTGGCTGCGCACTCCGCGTCCGGGCTGAGCGTCAGGCAGTTGCCCGCCACACTCACCCTCGCACCCTTGCCTTCCCCTGCCACCGAGTAATCTCGAGTGCCGGATATGCCATCGACACACTTCCCCGCTCCCCTGCCACTGCTAAGGTCCGAAAGGACGAGGTTGTTGGGCTGGGTGATCTCAGCGGGGCAGACCTGGCAGCCGGCAGCGAGGAGCACGGCATCACCGAAGAAGAAGTTGTGAGCCAAGTTGATGAGCGCTTCCCCATCCGCCACCATGCTCTTGAAGTTGCGGTTGATGCGCCCATACAGGCTGTTGTTGCTCACATCGCTAAGCGGAGCAGGGAAGGGAGGAGGCCAGGGGAACAGGAAGACAGGGAAGAGGGGAAGGTCAACGGGTGCGCCTGTACAGGCTGTTGCTGCTCACATCGCTAAGGTCAACTGTTGCTGAGCACGAGGGTTGAGGAGGAGAGGAGCAGTCAAAAGGGTGGTGGCTTGCCTTTCGATCCATGAGCTCAAGTGCGTAATTGTGATTGTAATTTAATCAAGTGTTGTAGTTCGATTGTTCTGGATGTGCCTCGTGTCAAGCCCCTTGCTATTGCAGGTGTTTGCATAACACGGTGCAGTGCAGGTGTGGTTGAGTACTGACGTGGAAGAGCAGAAGGCAGTGACAAGAGGAGGGTTAGAGTAGCGTACAGCTGATTGACACACTTGTCGAAGATGCACTCTGGCAGGGGCCCATAGAGGTAGTTATTGCCCATCATGCTGCCAGAACACAGAACACAGCACTCAGTACACAGCACAGTGCATTCCAAGTCAGCATTTTACCTAGAAAGACGCATAAAATATATATATATATATATATATATATATTCTGAAACCCTTATACAGCAGCCGAACCGCTTCAAAAGAGTGATGAAAATGGTGTACGCAGAAGCCAGAACAGAAGGCAAGTGAGAGGCACTCACATGCGCCAGAGTCGCGCAGGGGAGCAGATGGCAGGGGGCACAGGACCCTCAATGCTGTTGTTGTCCAACCAGCTGCGGCAAGGGGAGAGGGAGCGCGGCGAGGGAGCAGGGAGAGAAGAGGGAGCAGTGAGAGCAGAGGGAAAAGGGAGAGTAGAGGGAGAAGGGAGAACAGAGGGAAGGACATCAGGGAGAGCAGTGAGATCAGAGAAAAGTAAAGGAGAGAGCCTTGGGATCATGTCACCCAGACCAGATGCACAGGGCTAATGGGATAGACAGGAGGCGGGCCAGGATAGTACAGTACAGTACACGCGCATGGACAGGGAGAATTATGAATGATATGAAGCAGGGAGAGCAGAACAGACAGAGAGCGCGTGTGAAAATGGATGGTAAGAAGCGGACTGATGAACGGGTGGGTAGCAAGGGCGCTCACAGCTGCTCGAGCTTCTCCAGACGACTGATGTCAGACGGCAGACTGCCACTCAGATGGTTGTTGGCGAGGTAGCTGCAGGGGTGATGACAGGCAGGGAAGGAGATATTGATTCAGGTGCTGGACTGGAGGTTGGTCGGCACAAGAGGCGCTCTGAAGTGAGCAGGGGTGTGATGGAGAGCAGTGAATGGGCGAACAAAGTGAGCAACGTGAGCACGGGAGACATGGTGAGCGAGACGAGGGATGGCACGACAGACGGACACTAGGACGGTCAGCTCTGAGCTGTGCGCGTTCGACTCTGCTTGACACTATAGACCGCCCAGCCAGAGGCTCACAGGGAAACGAGATTGGTCATGTTGAAGATGGCCGATGAAATGGACCCGGCCAGCTGGTTGTTGTTGAGTACGCTGCAGGGCGGTGTGGTGTGGTGGGGTGTGGTGTGGCGTGGGGGTGCAGGGAGCAATTGGATGGTGGGTGCCGGCGGCATAATTGCGATGGCAGAGTTGTGTACACTGAGATGGTAGACGGGTATGGATGGGGACAGTATGTGTGTATGTACGTATGGTATGTATGGATGTGCGCACATCATAAACGCACACAGCAGTGCGCACGAATTGAGCTGGTATGGATGGGGACAGTATGTATGTATCATATAATGTACGAATTGAGATGGCAGTGGAAATGAATTGGTAGGTTGGCGTGAGTTTGGAGGAAAATAGAACACACATTCAAGCAGCGATGGCACGCACACACACGCACGCACGCACGCACGCACACACACACACACACACACACACATACATGGCCTTCAAGCTGGAGAGGGTGGAGATAGAGTCAGGAATGGGCCCTGTGAAGTTGTTGTGGTTGAGAGCCCTGCATCAACACACACACACATGCACACACACACACACACACACACACACACACACACACACACACATGGGCGATGGTATTGCAGGTACACGTAAGAAACAAACAACTCAGAGAGGTGGATGGATGGCCTAGGCTCTTTACTTGATGCACAAGGTAAGTCCACGCGGCCCTATGCATGTGAACACGTGCAGATGCGTCAGCGAGTGCAGAGAGGAAGACAAAAAGACACCCACGGTGATTGATTGCCGCTACACTGCAGAACCTCCTCAGCACAATGGAAGGGGGCGGGTCGCTGGAGGGAGTGAGGGCTGGTGTAGGTTGTAACGTTGCCTCACCTGATTGTGTTGCCCCTTTCTGTGTACTTGGTACCATGGCTAATTGAAGGACTGATAAAGAACGAGAAAGATGGAAACACGCACAGGTTCTCAAGGCTGACACTCCAGAGCGAGAAGTCGGGCAAAGGACCTGTGAACCCGTTTCCTGGCAGGCTACTGCACAGCGCACGCACGCGCACAAGGGGGAGAGCATGAGAAAGAAGAGAAGGGATGGTTAGGCTACTGCATGTGAGAGAGTGGATCGGACGGTGCAGAGCTAAATAAAAAACAGGAAATCAATAAAAAGAGCAAACAGTAACAGCATGTGGCAGCAGCACGCACAGTGTTTTAAGAGAGGATGAGGCACGCAGAGACGCTGGAAGGCCCCCCGAGAGGAAGTTGTTGGCCACTTGCCTGCCGCAGAGGGGTGCGGATGTGGGAGAGAATGAAAGGTTGGGTTGCATTCAGTAGGAGAGCTAAGGTGCCCTGGAGAGTCATTCGTTTTACGTATGGAGAAGAATATGAAAGGTAGACAGAGTGGTGGTCTTCGTGTACGGGTTCTAGTATCCGGTTTGCAAATGAGGAAACGGGGGAGACGTGAAGAATCTCAGGTATTTGCTCATATAGAACATTGGCGTGAGAAGTGGGTGGGTTCCTTCATGCGAACAGAAGAGAAATATGTTGCCAGTGGGCCATGGGGAAGCAATAATCACTAAGATGGTTCACTACGTAAAGAATCAGACGGATCACACCGCACTTGAGGAGAGTTGTTTCTGTTTTCACTCAGAAGCAAGCACCCGGTGTTTGGAGAAAGAGAGGGAGAGGGGGGAGGAGAGGAGCAAGTTACATACAGTGAGTCGAGCATGGAGAGCTGAAAGAGACGCGGAGAGATAACCCCGTGGAACTTGTTGTTGTTCAGGTTGCTGCCACGTGAACAGGAGACCAGGCAGCAGCAAGCAGACAAGGAATTAGTAATCTATGAAAAAACATCAACTTCAGCTTCTATGCCCAGGAAATGTCTGTTCGCTTGACACGAATCGGTATGTTTTGAGTCGACTTAGAAATAACCTCAGCTGAGCCTGCAACAGTGAATATCTGGAAGTTGGAAACAGTATTTACAACCTTCCACAGATTTATCCCAGCCTCATCTCCTTGCCCCACTTATGGATCCACTCTTATTTTCTCCTCCTTAATCCCTTCGTTTCGTGGTCCAAACACACATCACCCCACCTCACAACTCAACCTTTTTTCTTCTATTTTCCTTTCTCTGCGTTGGGGCAAATCCAGGAGGAATCGCTGAGTGGGGCGAATCCTTTCCCACACACGGCGCAACTCACATGTCTATCAGCTGAGCAAGCTTCGTAAGGCGCTTGGGAATGGACCCCGTGAAACTGTTGTTGCTCAGATCCCTGCCAGCCAGCCACCGCCATTGCCAGTGGAAATTGTCAGCTACAACAAAAGAGTTGACACATGTGTACATTTATACCCTTAAAGTGGAGATTCTTGCTTGGCTGTGTTACGTTGGATCCATACATTTGAGCGCTTGCGAGACCCTCAGCTCAGCCCTCCAGCTGCATACATTAGAACAAGGCTTGGCAGTTTTAACAGAGACTCGGGGAACGATCCAGAGAAGCGGTTGTTGGCAATGCTTCTGGCACAGAGCAGAACCAAGGTGTTGAAAGAGTGGACAAATGATACGCATGCACAGACAACACTTAGTTAGAATGGTGGCAGAGGTATGCGCATGCACATGCATAAACATATGCCTCCGGGATAGGTAGGTCGTCCACTTCACACGGCGACGATTGGAAAACTCTCATGCACCGCACTCGATAATGGCCCATAAACGGTGACATTGAATAAGACGAAACGAGCCCAGCCTACGCCCCTTCAACACGGAACATGCAATGCATAGGGATGAGCATGTATCCGAACACCCGTTCGGTTCGGTCGAACATGTTCGAGACGAACCGAACGGGCTTTTTTTTGCCAAAAAATGTTCGGCACGAACGTGTTCGTTGTTCGTGCGAACATGTTCGGTGTTCGACGGCGTCGATTTGCCGAGCTGCGTCGAACACGAACATGTTCGTGATCGACGCGGTACATCGACGAACACCTCGGTGTTCGTCGACGAATTGGCCACGCCATAACCTAGGGTTGCGGCCAATTCTTCTGTTGGTCATTTTTTAGAGCTCCGTGACCATGTCGCTGCCACCAGGCCGCCCAGCCCACACCCTCACCTACTACTACTAGCCTAATGGGGAAGATGTTTCAATTCTCACGTGTTGGCGAGATGCTTACAAGTTTTAATAATAGAAGGTAGCCAGCATCTACTCCCAGCGCAAAGTTGAAGTAGAGGGATACCATTAGGGTTTCCACCGTTAAAGGGGTTTCCACCGTTGAAGGGGTTTCCACCGTCAAGGTCTCCATCAAAGTGACACTCCCCTCCCCTCGCCGCCACATCACCAGTCTATCAAGGGTCTAGTCTAGGTTTCTTCGGCCGTCGAGGGAAATGGCCTCCCACCAACAAGTTAGTGCAGGGCGGGGTGGTCGCGGTAGTCAGGGCGGTGCTCCATCATCTGCACAAGGACCTATGCAGGGTAGAGTAGGTGACGGCCCTGGAGGTGCTTGTTTCGTCGGTGGGCTTCTGTCCATGCCCGTGCCGTCAACCCGTCTGTCGTTCCGTTACTCGGGTGATCGACCCCGCTCAGCTGGGCAGACGCGCACCACCACTCAGACCGCCAGTGAGGCGGACGAGGAGGAGGAGGATAACGATGAGGGGGAGAATGAGGAGGAGGAGGAGGAGGACGAGGAGGGGAGCGGTGATGATAGTGAGCAGGGGTGGACACCCGAGACGCATGGTGGTGGTGGGGACGGGGGAGGAGATGAAGATGAGGAGATGGAAGGGTTAGAGCCTTGGGGAGGGGAGGGGTGGGAATGCCAAAATCGCAATCAAATTTTTTTTTTCGGGCTGCCCGAAATTTTTTTCGACGTGCGTCCTGCGTCTGGACGCGCGTCCTGCGTCCTAGCGTCCGGACGCTGCGTCCGGACGCAGGACGCAGCGTCCTAGCTGCGTCTTTCCGAACTAAGGTGGAGCTTCGTCAGGCAATCGTCAAGCTGGTGGTGACCTGCGACCTTCCCTTCAAAATTGTGGAGGCTAAGGTGGTAAGGGTTTACTGCTGCTGGGTGTGGCCGTTGTGGTGTGGGTACGGCGAGCGCATGAGGCTGAGGGGAGGGTGTTGGGTTGGGACACTTACGCCTCTCCTTTCCATGCCATTCTTGCGCTGTTAGGCGAAACCCAACGCATGCTTGTTGTGTGAACTCCTTCCACCCACCCCACCAGTTTCGCGAGCTTCTGACCCTGTGCAACCACCACTGCGGGCAGAACAACTTCATACCTTCGCGCTGGACGGTGGCACGCGACACTGTGGCGTTTGCTGTGGCCGCTCTGCATGCTGCCAAGGTGGAGCTGCTGGGGAATGAGGGGGAGTTGGGATGCAAGGTGTCATACACCATTGACATTTGGACTGCACCCAATGGGAAGGCTTTGTTAGTTGTGACAGGTCACTGGATCGACGAGACGTTTCAACAACGTGAGGCAGTGCTGGAGTTTCGCGAGCTGACGGGTCGTCATGGAGCGACGCAGATCGCGCAGATCGTGGAGGACACGGTGGTGATGTGGGGGTTAGAGGGGCGTTGTCTGGGAATCACCACAGACAACGCCTCCGCCAACATTGCCACGTTCAAGCGCCTGTCGGAGAAGGGTGGTGATCGGGCTTTCTTCAACTCCTGCCTGCACTTCAGGTATGAGTGGGTGTGGAAGTGATAATGGGGTGGCTTGTCAGAGACGGCATTGTGTCACTACCTCCCAAATCACATGCCTACGGTGCTATGATCCGCAGGTGCTTGTCGCATGTGGTTAACCTGGCAGTGCAGGCAGGACTGAAGGTGGATGCCATTCGCGCCTTGTTGAAGGTGCTCAGAATCATGGCGTCCTGGGTTGGGTACTCGCCGCAACGCTTGGTGGCGTTTTTGGGACTTCAGCGCGGCTTGAACCAGCAGGCCCGTGTAAAAAAACCAGCCTTGAAGCTGGTGCAGGACAGTCCTACCTGCTGGGGTTCGGCTCATGCCATGATCGACCGCTTCCTTGAGCTGGAGAATCCGATCACTGTGTTCTTGGCCTCGACCCAGGTATAGGGTGGGAACGGGACATGGGATCTGTGTGTGGCATGTGGGCATGTCTGTGGCATGTGTGTGGGAGTGTTGGTCGCATGAAGTGCGATACATATTGATAACCGCCCTCTCCCTCATATGCCTCGCATCACCCTAACCCTGACGAGGCTTGGCAAAGGCGGAGAAGATGAGAAGATGCGCCTTTCAGATGAGCAGTGGGGGATGTTGAAGGAGCTGAGGGCCTTTCTCAGCCCCTACAACAAGGTCTTCAAGGCAGCCGAGGGGACGGCGTACCCGACTCTGTCGATGGTGGTGCCGTACTACAACTGTCTCATCGACGCCATGGAGGCCCGACTAGCAAAGGGGCCTTCGGCGCTGCTAAAGCCTCTAGTTGAAAAGACGCTGAACATCCTGAAGAACTACGCCTACATCGGCAGCAACGAGGGCTGGATCGCCACCTTCATGGATCCATCCATGAAGGCGGCGTGGTTCGACGACGCCCACTGGGAGACGCAGCATCCAGCGACGGAGCCGATGGAGAGGCCGCGCCCAGCGTCGGGTGTGGTGATCGCGCTGGTACGTGAGCGGGTGGCCGAGTACCAGGCGGCGGCTAGGGAGCTGGCTCTTAGGCCCATTACACTTAACACGGTGGTAGAGGAGGAGGAGGGAGAGGGGGGGGGGATGACGAGGACAACCTTTATCTCCCTAGTCGCCGACGCCTTGCGGTGCGTCTATCTGCGAGCCAGGCGGCGGGGGGGGGTGGTCATGTGCAGTACGATGAGGTCAGCAGGTACTTGTCCGAGAGGGTGCGGTACGACGTGTCAGCGCTAGAGTACAGGCGCACCTCCACGAACATGGAGACGCTGAAGCGGATGGCGAGGGATTATCTCGCGATCCCTGCCACGTCTGCTGCGAGCGAGCGCGTGTTCTCCTTGGGCCGCAAGGAGCGTCACCGCCTGAACTCCTAGAGGGCGCGATTTTGCATGATTCTCAGATCGTGGTATGGATTGTATTTTGGCTAGAGGATCGGCGAGGGCTGCCGCACGAAAGGGGTCGCAGCATTGGAGATCGCTCTTGAGGGCGAGGGTGCGGAGGAGGAGGAGGAGGAGGAGGAGGAGGAGGAGGAGGAGGAGGAGGAGGAGGAGGAGGAGGAGGAGGAGGAGGAGGAGGAGGAGGAGGTGGTGGTGGTGGAGGCGGAGGAGGAGGTGGAGGGGGGGCCGGCGGAGGAGGTGGATGAGGAGGCGGCGAAGGGGAGAGGGGCGGACGCAGTAGCAGGTGGCGCGGATGGTGGTGTTGGTAGCGGGGGTGGGACAGGGATGTAGTTTAGATTTTGTTGGTGGGCTATGGAGGGACCCTTTGGTAGTCGTTTGACTGTGGACACGTTCTATGCCGCACGTTATTCATGCTCATCAAAGTTATTATAAACACGGCAAAGGTAAGGCAAAACAATACCAAACTGAAAACCCTACCAGCGGGATGCATTGGCAGTGTTTTATAATGCTAAGCCCTCAGGGGCGAACACGAACATGTTCCTGTTGAACATGTTGGTGTTCGCCATTGTGTTCGAAATGTTCGAACACCACTTTGGGCGAAACCCGTTCTGCGAACCGAACACTGTTCGGTTCGCCGAACGGCCCTGTTAGAGCCAAAGCGAACGCGAACATGTTCGTGTTCGCCTCGTGCTCATCCCTAACATGCAAGGTCTTCTGGAACAGCATACGATACAAGGATAGCACCACCACGGCACCTTGTCTAGTGTAGTAAATTCGTGTAAGAAAGCGAGCAGTGGAATCTCTTGACGGCTGCAATTGTGAGCAAACAGGCATCGGTGCATTGGTGTGGACTGATTGTTGGACAGCTGGCTGCATGCACAGGAGACGAGCACAGCACCGCATGCACAGCACAGGCTAAGACACACAACTTGACACAACAGCTGAAAACGAGAGGAGTCGGGTATTAGGTGAGCAGAATAGCCGTACCTCGTTGTTGTCTTACCTAGATAGAGGCCCAGGGCAGTCGGACAAGTGGCAAAACGGCAGCACAGGCAAAGGCACCAACCATCCATGGAAGAGGTGCAGAGACGAGTGCAGAGACGAGTGCAGAGACGAGTGCAGAGACGAGTGCAGAGACGAGTGCAGAGACGAGTGCAGAGACGAGTGCAGAGACGAGTGCAGAGACGAGTGCAGAGACGAGTGCAGAGACGAATGCAGAGACGAGTGCAGAGACGAGTGCAGAGACGAGTGCAGAGACGAGTGCAGAGACGAGTGCAGAGACGAGTGCAGAGACGAGTGCAGAGACGAGTGCAGAGACGAGTGCAGAGACGAGTGCAGAGACGAGTGCAGAGACGAGTGCAGAGACGAGTGCAGAGACGAGTGTATGGATGAGTGCAGTTGAGGAGAGGCGTGGTAATTGAGTTGAAGTTCCCCGAAACTAGCTATGCAAGGTGAGAGAGAGGTAGAATAGAACGCACAGCTGGGTCAAGCTGGGCAGTGCCAGGTGTGGTGGGATGGGCCCGTCAAAGGCGTTGTATCCAAGCAGTCTGGTCAGAGGCAGAGTGCAGGACAGGGCAACGTACGGTGCGGGTTGGGTGAAGGTAAGCAATGCACAAATGCGCTGAGGGCCGGTTGGTAGGGAATCGAATCGGAACATTCAATGAATGCCCGTTGAGCTGAATGCGCACTGGAGGATGCATGCAGCAGTCATAGAGGCAGAGCGAGACAGGGGGTGAGTGCATGTAAGTTGAAGGGTAGGAGGGGAGGGGAGGGGAGCGGGGAGGGGGGGTTGGGGGGGAGTGGGAGGGGAGGATGTAACGAAGAGGAAGTGAAACAGAAAGATGATTAAAGCAGGAAGGCGAGGGCAAGAGGCACCGGAGGGAGGAGTTAGTTGGTGGGAGCGCAGTGCAGAGCCGAGAAGAGAGAGGAGAAGGAGGAGGAAGGGAAGGCGGGGGGAGGTGGGGGGAGGGGGGAATAGAGAGTAGGAGTAATACGCACATGGAATTGACATTGGAGCTGAAGACAGGAGGTACTGTACCAAAGAGATAGTTCCACGACAGGTCTCTGCACGTGAGAGAGAGGCAATTGGAAGCAGAATACAAAACATGGGACAGGGCGAGGAGAGGAGGATGGGAAAGACAAGAGTGGGTGAATGCAGGTACCATGCCAATCCACTTAACACCATGGCGTTTGCTGTTTCTCCGTTATTGAGTGTGCTCAGGGCTCGAGCGATGCGTGTGCAGGTGGAAACACACTGGCTGGCCTCACACTGCTCTCCTTGCAATGCTGCTCAGCTCACATGCCCGCCAGCTCAATGGCGCAAAACAACAGGACTAGACTGCTGGAGGCGCGGCGAGGCACGAATAGGAGGTGTGAATGAGAAGGAGCCTAGGCAGCCATTGAGCCAGCAAATATGAGTTGAGGGGGTTCATGTGTCACGCTTAGGGCACTGCAAACCACAATCAGATACCGCTGTTTGAGGCGCCTCAAAAGGCAAACCACATTTAAGATACCGCTGGGCTCAGTTGCAGGCACCAGAAGATGAGGCTGCACCTTACAGGAGATACAGGAAGGTAGGCGGAGAGAAAGAGCCGATAGGCGAGCGATAGGAAGACTTGTGAACCAGTGGGGAACAATACACCACACGTCACTTGCAGTGGAGTGGAGAGATCCTACACAGGAAAATATTGACAAGACCTAGCTCTCTCTCTCTCTCTCTCTCAAGGATTAGGTGTCATCAGGTCATGTCAAGATTCTCTGGTGGGGCATTATGCTGGTCAGGCAAGCCATGGGTTGGGTGGAGTTGATTGGAAGGAGCGCGGGCGTACAGTGCAGTGAGGGCTGTGAGGGCAGAGAACGTTGCCGGTATTGTGCCTTGAAGATGGTTGAACCCCAGATTACTGCAACACGGAGAAAACGACAATGTTTAGTGTGTGTTTTCAAATCAGTGTACATGGGAGGAGTGACAGAGTGGAGTGGAGTGCAGTATGTAAAGGCAAGTGGGCATGCGTGAGAGGGTGGTTCAATGAGCAGTGCGTCGAGTCGTTTGACTCGCGAGTGAGTGACGTCTGACTTCAACTTGTCTGATATTGTTGGGGACGGGGAGATACCGGAAGAGATGATGCCAAAGTGCGAAAACTAGGTAGGTTGCCTTGCTCCTGATAAAATCTTATCCACTCCATCATTAACCCAAACTTTGGAAAGTTTCTAAAGCTACTCAGTACAAGCTTAACAGTTACCCCAAACTACGAGAATGCGATGCAAGTAAGCAAGTTTTCCACCTTTTAACAAATGCTAAATCATGTAGGCTGGTAGGTACATAGTGGAATGAATCAAGAGTGGATGGAGGAGGTTCATGGTAATGATACAGCGGCATGGCTCGGCGTGAATCGGGTAGGCAAACAAGGGGCCGCAGCTTGGTTTGAGGCTAGTTTTCTTTGCTCATGCCTGCAGCATGGCAGCATGGCAGCATGGCAGCACGGCACAGCACGGCACAGCACGGCACAGCACGACAGGCGGGGTCTCACAGGTCAGCCAGGTTAACCAGAGTGGACCAGCCCTTGAGCAGGGAACCTTCCAGATTGTTGCCAAACAGTGATCTGTGTTTATAAGGGGGTTGCAGTGTGGTCCAAGGGAGTTACGAGGACTTTCATGCCTGAAGAGACGGGTACCATTTTGACTTGCACAGCACAGGCAGAGGCAGAGGCAGAGGCAGAGGTACATGTTATCAGTGGGTTGAATGGCCTTAATCCAGAGCCCATCCAGCACAGGAAGGCCCTGTGGGAGACCATGCTCATGCACGCCCCTGCATCCCACTGCAAGCCACTGCACCCCACTGCCCGACCCTGCACCCCACTGCATGCCCCTGCATCCCACTGTATGCCGCCTCTGCAACTCTGTGCACTCACAGGCGCGTGAGTGCTGTGAGCTCGGACATGTCTTCTGCCAGCAGCCCCTGTCGCCGCGGCTCGTCCGTGTTCAGGTTCCTGCATGCGGGCGAGGCAAGGAGAAGCAAACATGGCAGTTGGGGGGAATGGTGATGAGAGATACAACAGAGCAGCAACGCTCATGAGCAGCGCAGCAGCAGGAGGACTGATGGGGAGCTCTAATATTGTTACGACCGCGCTGCTGCGCAACACGAGGGCATCAAGAATCAAGGCTGTGCCATGCCCCCTTGCCTAGTGCCATGCCACCTTGCCTAGTGTCATGCCACCTTGCCTAGTGCCATGAATGGCCCGACCAAGTAGGCGCAACGCAATAGGCAAGGCAAGGCAAGCAAGCAGCTTACAGGGACTGAAGGTTGGAGAGGTGGGTGACCCAGTTGGGGAACTCCACGGCACGCAGATACGAGAGGTCACTGCAGGGATGGGGGCAAGGAAACGTGTGTCATCAGGGAGAGAGGAGGGGAGGGTAGACGGCAGGCAGGCGCTTGTACAACTGAGTTGAGCCGCACCATAGATGCACTGCAACGAGGGACCACCAAATTGAGATTATGGTAGCCATAGTTGAGTGGTATGGTATGGCACATAGAGTGTGCACTGCACAGGACACAGTGTCTGGGCTTGATATGGTGGCCGGGCCACATGGTGTGTGCGTGTGTACACGAACATGTTCGTGTTCGCCCCTACACGAACACATCCGTTTGCCGAACCGAACAGTGTTCGGTTCGGCGAACACTTTGAGCAAAAACAGGTGTTCGCCGTTCGCCTGTGAAGGCGTGTTCGGGCGAAACTCGAACACGTTCGTGTTCGTCGCGGGGCAAATTGCAGCAGCGGCCCGAACACGAACGTGTACGGGCGAACCTCGAACACTGTTTGGCGAACACTTTAAGCAAAGAAAACAAACCTGTTCGGTTCGCCTGTGTTCGTTTTTTTGCTCATCCCTAGCACGTAATGCAGAGAAGCATGGGCTTGGTGCAATGTGCAGCACAGTGACCTCGTCACCGCTCACTTGTCGTGAATCGCTCGCCTGCCGCGTGTGTGTAGCGTGGGCGAAATGAAAACAGTGTGACGTGATGTGGAGTGGATGGATGGAGTCGATTCAGATTAAGCAAGCATGTGCGGTGCAGCAGCTTACAGTGCAGTGAGGGCAGTCATGTAGCGGATCTCCCTGGGGATCTCCCCTGTGGCCCCGCTGAAGCCTCGAAGCATGCTGCACAGCACAGCGCACCCATGCAACGTGGAAGCAGGCAGGTTGGTGCCAGTTAAAGCCCAGGTACAGCACGGCTGTGTTGATACCATTGCATGGTACGCTGGTATGGTATGGATACAGGCATCTAGAGCAGGAGCCGCGTCAAGGTCAGAAAACACAGACGAGAGGATTGAGTCAAAAGGCATGCTCATGCACACGCACGTTCGGGTGCATGCACGCTCAACTAACGTTGCACCACCAGTAAAACGTACTATCACAAGAGTGCTTGCTTGCATTGCTTGCCTTGCATGAATGAATGCATGCCGTGAGGTTGCTCACAGGTCCTGGAGGGTGTCGATGTGCGACAGCATGGCGAAGGAAGAGAGGTCCCCTGTGACCTCCGCCAGGGCGCTCAGGTGCCTGGTGGTGCGTGGTGGGGGGAGGGAGGTAGGGAGGGGGAGACATGAAGGGAGGTGTAGGGTGGAAGGTTGAGAAGGAGGGATGGTGGCAGGCAGCACGAGGGGGGAAGGTGGATGCTGCATGAAGGGGATGCTGGGGCAGTGTGGCGTGTGTGTGTGTGTGGCGGCGAGGAGGAGGAGGAGGAAATGCAATCTAAAGTGGGCAAGGTTCTGACATGGCGAACGGGGGGAAGGGAAGGGAGGAAAGGGATGAAGGAGGAGTGGAGGGGGGGGACGGCTCTGTGTTTAGAGGAAGGAGGTGAGATTGTTTTTTGCGATTGCTGTGCATGAAAGAAGAGGTTGAGGCACACCCACCCACCCACCCACCCACCCACCCACCCACCCACCCACCCACCCACCCATCCCATCCCATCCCATCCCATCCCATCCCATCCCATCCCATCCCATCCCATCCCATCCCATCCATCCATCCATCCATCCATCCATCCATCCATCCATCCACAGCAATGCTGGGGTGGAGAGGAGTGGAGTGGAATGGGCGTACAGTGTGTGCAGGGCGGAGAGGGAGGAGAGCCACGAGAGTTCGTCCACGGTGCCGGTGAGCAAGCAGCCGTCTGCTCCCAGGGCGCTGCAGGGAGCGATGCATGCAGGCATGTGCAGGGGATGGGGCATGTGCAGGGGATGGGGCATGTGCAGGGGATGGGGCATGTGCAGGGGATGGGGCATGTGCAGGGGATGGGGAATGTGCAGGGGATGGGGCATGTGCAGGGGATGGGGCATGTGCAGGGGATGGGGCATGTGCAGGGGATGGGGCATGTGCAGGGGATGGGGCATGTGCAGGGGTTGGGCATGTGCAGGGGGTGGGCATGTGCAGGGGGTGGGCATGTGCAGGGGGTGGGCATGTGCAGGGGGTGGGCATGTGCAGGGGGTGGGCATGTGCAGGGGGTGGGCATGTGCAGGGGGTGGGCATGTGCAGGGGGTGGGCATGTGCAGGGGGTGGGCATGTGCAGGGGGTGGGCATGTGCAGGGGGTGGGCATGTGCAGGGGGTGGGCATGTGCAGGGGGTGGGCATGTGCAGGGGGTGGGCATGTGCAGGGGGTGGGCATGTGCAGGGGGATGGAGAGCATGCAGGGGGGAGGGGCACAAACAGGGGGAAATGCAGCACATGCAAGGGAGGGAGGGGAGGATGGGTCATGTGGAGAGTATGTAACGGCGAAAACGGAAACGGGAGGAATGTGACAGCAAGTTTGCATGGGGGGCCGGGGCACAAACGAGCGAGGCGAATGAACAAGGTGAGTCAATGCACTGCACGAGGTCAAGTCAGCCCTGCCACACAAGCTGCAGTGGTAGGCGCGGACGAGTGGGAGGGGTTGTGAAGGGCTGTGAGGGGATGTGAGGTGTGTGTTTCTTGTGATGGGAGAGGAGAGGAGAGGAGAGGAGAGGAGAGGAGAGGAGACGAGAGGAGGGTGTGAGACGTACAGGTAAGTGAGGCGGGTGAGAGGTGAGAGGGATGGCATGGCGCCCACCAGGTTGATGCCGTACGTCAGGTCTCTGCAGACATTTGCAAGGGGTTTGCCGAAAATGGCGAGGGGGTTGCAGAGATTTGCAAGGGTTTCGCGGAAAATGGCAAGGGATGCGCGGAAAATAGAAAAGGGGTTTCTAGAAATTTGCAAGGAATTTGCAGAAGCTCGTAGAGTGCTTGCAGAAAGTTGCAAGGTCTGCAGAAATCTTGAAGGGATTCACATAAAATGCAAGAAATTGAATACTAAAGCAAGGGATGGGCAGGAAGAGATAAGTGGGCGAGGGTGCGGTGGGGGGTGGGGGTTTAGAGGGGAGAGGGAGGGGAAGGGAAGGGGGGAACAAGAAATCAAATTCTAGAGCAAGGGATGGGCAGGAAGAGAAAAGTGGGCGAGGGGGGGCGGGGGGTGGGGGGCGGGTTGGGTGGGAGGGAGGGGGAGGGAGGGGCGGAACAAGAAATTAAATTCTAGAGCAAGGGATGGGCAGGAAGAGAGAAGTGGGAGAGGGGGTGGGGAGGGGGAGGGAGGGAGGGAAGGGATGGATGGTAAGGTCAAGTGAGTTTGCAGGGGAAGCATGAAAAGGGAGTGGTGGAAGCAGGAAGTACAATGCACTGTATTGGGGCAGCAGCGCACAAGGAGGAATTGAATGGGAGAAACTTGAACGGAGGCCAGGGATGGGATGAGCAAAGGAAGAGAAGAAGGCACGATGGTGCAGGCAAGATGAGAGGGAGCGGGAGGGGGAGAGGGCAGAGGGCAGAGGGCAGAGGGAGGGGGGGGGCGCGGACGGACAGGTATTGAAGAGCGGCGAGGTCGGTGATGGCAGCAGGAATGGTGCCAGTGGGAGGAGGATCCATGGTAAAGGCCTTGGAGTCCCTGCCAGGGCATACATGCGCTCACACACACATGCGCTCACACACACATGCGCTCACACACACATGCACTCACACACACATGCACTCACACACACATGCACTCACACACACATGCACTCACACACACATGCACTCACACACACATGCGCTCCCACACACATGCACTCACACACACATGCACTCACACACACATGCACACACTCACATGTGCACGCGCACAGCACATACCACTCACACACTTGCATGCATGTACACACGCACACTCACACACATGCTTGCATGCATGCGCACGAAAACATACAGCCCAAAACCCGACCGACCGCATGCACATGGACACACGCTCACACACATGCGCACACACAAGCGCACACACATACACGTGCGCATGCGTGCGCAAACACACACAGACACACGTGCACACACACGCACGCACACATGCGCGCACACGCACCACGCCCACCCACCCACCCAATCACCCACCCACCCACCCATCCACCCACCCAGCCACCCACCCACCCACCCACCCACCCACCCACCCGCCCGCCCGCCCAACCACACCCACACACACACACGCACACGCACACACGCACACACACACACACACACACACACACGCACACACGCACACACACACACACGCACACACACATGGATGGGTATCTTTCGAACACGCTTGTGCGCACACACACATGCATCCATGCATGCATTGCACGATGTCGAGCCAGCCACCCACTCGCACACAGGGCAGTGACGAGCCCCCATGCGACTCAGATGACGAGCCCCCATGCGACTCAGGTGACGAGCCCCCATGCGACTCACAGGGCAAGGACGGCTCCGTTGGGACTCACAGGGCAAGGACGGCTCCGTTGGGACTCACAGGGCAAGGACGGCTCCGTTGCGACTCACAGGGCAAGGACGGCTCCGTTGCGACTCACAGGGACAGGACGGCTCCGTTGGGGCTGCAGGTGACGCCAGCCCACGCAGAGCACGCCGTGGTGGCGTTGCTGTTGCCCGCCCACGCGCCCCCCCACGCCTCCTGCAGCTGCACCAGCGCGCGCACTGCGCGCACACCGCCCAGGTGCATGGGGATGGGGATGAGGATGGGTATGGTGATGGGGATGGGGATGGGGATGGGGATGGGGATGGGGATGGGGATGGGGATGGGGATGGGGAGAAACGGGTCATGGAGATGATCGGGGGGACGGGGTGATGGGGGGAACGGACGGGGTGATGGGGGGAACAGTTGCGGGCAGGGTGAAGGGGGAAACGGGGAGGTGACGGTAATGGGGATAATGGGGAGAACGGGGATACTCAGGGTAATCGATCGAGATACTGCGGAACGGGGAGCAGTGATGCAGGCACCAGATCAGCTGCATCAATGCACGGTGCATTGAGATGCAACAATGCACTCGCTCCCACCACGCCGCGCACCCACTCCCACTCCCAATGCCCCACTCCCAATGCCCCACTGCCAATGCCCCACTCTTCCCCTCCACCATCCTTACCTCATCCCCACTACTCACACTGCGACGTCCCTAGAGCCACGGGCCTCGCAGCAGCAGCGGCGGCGGCGGCGGCGGTAACTTCAACCCGCAAAAGCGCGCGGCGATCCCGCGCGCCGCCTTGGCTCCCCCCGCCTTCTCCGCGGTTGCGCCAGGAGCTCGAATTCCCCTAGGCGACACTGGGGAACTCGAGCCACGCGCCGAGAGACGGTTCCGCCGCATGGCGGAGCGGAGAAGGCGCGCGCAGGCGGAGGTTGCCGCGCGGAGGGGGTGGACGGTGGCGAGGGGAGTCGGGGCGGCGAGGCGGGGAGGGCAGCGGTGGGGGCGCGGCGTTGCGGGGGAAGCAGTCGGCGGCGGCGGTGAGGATGAGAAGAGGTACGAGGAGCAGGCGCGCTGCGGCCGCCGGCACGCGCGGAGACGAGAAACCAGCGCTGCTGCTGCTGCTGCCGCTGCCGCTGCTGCTGCCGCTGCCGCTGCTGCTGCGGCGGCGGCGATCCGTTAGGCTCGCAGGGGAGTGAGAGCTGGCGGCGCGGCGTGCACTACTGCCAGTGAGGTTGGTAGCGCTACTCGTAGAACTTCTGCTACTGGGGATGCTGCTGTCGAGCACTTGTGCAGCGCTTGCGCTACTAGCCGGGAGAGTGATAGTAGTAGTAGCGCGGGTGCGGCGAAGATTGAATGGAGGCGTCATGGAGGGAGAGACTGGTGAGCGAGAGGGTGGAGAGAGTGAGGGGGAGAGAGAGACGCAGTCCGGACGTCCGTCGCTCACGGTCACGGTCACGGTCAAACGTCGACGAGCCAATTGGCAACGGTGCACACGCCGCCGCCGTCGGTCGCGCAGGTGCTACCACTACTGGTACGACAAGGGACTGCCGCGACCTCGATTAGTGGTAGGCCAAAAGCGACGACTGGATTTCTTAGGCCGTCACCCTCGGCGTGCGGCGGCTGGGTTTTGAGTCGACTTTTAAGTCGACTGCCTTTTGACTCGACTCAAAAGCGGACTGCGGCAACCTCCGAGGTCGATTCGTAGTAGTACGAGGCCGTCACCCTCGGCGCGCAGTGGCTGGGGAAATCCGGAATGCGTCAAGTGGTACTCACTTGAATCCGGGCGTTCTACTACTAGTATGACGCTGCGACAGTCCGCCGGAATCGCCCCACTTGAAGTTTGTTTCGCGCAGAAGAATGATCGTGCCGCATCGTTTCCTCCAACCAACCCTGCGACTGCACTCCAGCTTGTTTGTTTACTCCCATTCCTCACTGGAGGAAACGAAACGAAGCAACGTGCGTGAGCTGACTACATAGTTGTAACTGTACCACTACTCACAACGGGTCACTCACTCACGACGACGTGTTCTTGCAGCACTGTCCGTGTGCTTGAACCAAGTCCGAGAGAGCTACAGTGTAACCACATGCTGGGTGTGTGTGTGGTTGTGAAGGAATGAGAGCCGAGCAGCACTGAGCAAGCATGTGAATGTCGCGTCGCGTGGATAAGGAGGATCCGCCAGTCATTTTCTGGTCCGACCGTGACAAAACAAGAACCCTGGTGGTTTAGTAAGGTGTGATGCGTTCAAGAGGGATCGGTTATTGGACAAGAGTTCGATAAAGTCTCCTTCGGTACCCGGTTGATTGCGGTCAGGAACTACACACAAAATCAACCCTCGGTTAAAATTGTGCGGCGGAATGCCAACAGAAAGCCCAGCTGATCCAGTAGTGTCCGAAAATTCATGGAATTCGGATTCGCGGTTGATTCCTTCGTGGGGCGCACGCGCACAACTTGCGCGCAATGCGAATGTGCTACCTCCGCAGCCTGATTGCGAATGTGCGGTGCCAGTGGGTACTGGGTAGCTAGCGAGGGGAGTGTAGCACATATACACTAAGTCTCGTGCCAAATCGCCTTTCCCTGCATACTCCACCGCTTCTGGCGCCTCCTCGCCGCCTCGCCCGCTTGCCCGCGAATCGGCTCACTTCTCTTTCCCCTAGCCCCGCTCCTTGCCCCGAGCCGCACGATACTCATTCCCCCAGAGCACGCCAAGTTTCCGCACTGCTACTTCATCTAGTGCCATTCCACCGTGCTCCTCCGCGCCTTCCGCCCGTACTCCGCGCCTTCCGCCCGTACTCCGCGCCTTCCGCCCGTACTCCGCGTCCCGGAGCAACTTCCGCGCGCGCTCGTGCTCCCCGCACCCCCCCCACGTCGGCTAGTATTGGCACGACCGTTCCACCTTCTCCCGGCGCTCGTTGCGCGCAGAGAGAGGGGAAGCGGGGGGGGAGGTGGGGAGGATGGGCGGGGGAAGATGGGGAGGAGACTGGGTATGGCAACCGAGAGTGGTTTGCGCGCGTGTATGATAGCGTAAGCTGGCCGCTGAGACGTTGAGTGGTTCTTTAGAACCAACTGGTTTGCACGTGGTGGCTTGCTGCGTGTATGCATGGCAACTTGCGTTGCACGTGGTGCTACGAGTGGCGGTGGCAGCGAGGGAGAAGGAGAGAAGTGGAGACGGGCAAGGGCGGATGGGACGCTTTGTGATGGGGAGGAGACGAAGGAGTGGAGTGCGGTGATGGGTGGTGAGGTGTGTGGGCGGGAGGAGAGTGGGTGGGAAGGAGGGGGGAAACGTGTGGAGGAGGGGAAGAACGGGGAGGATAGGGAGGAGGGGGAGGAGCCAGCGGGGGGGGATGAAATAAAAGAGTGTGTGGAGGAGGGGGGGGAGGGGAAGGAAGAAGAGGAGGATGATGGTGAGGAATGGGCAGTGATGCATGGGAATGACGAGGGGGGGTGTGAGTATGAGGAGGAGGAGGAGGAGGAGGAGGAGGAGGAGGAGGAGGAGGAGGAGGAGGAGGAGGAGGAGGAGGAGGAGGAGGAGGAGGAGGAGGAGGAGGAAGAGGAGGAAGAAGAAGAGAAAGAGGAGGAGGAAGAGGAGGAAGAAGAAGAGAAAGAGGAGGAGGAAGAGGAAGAGGAGGAGGAGGAGGAGGAGGAGGAGGAGGAGGAGGAGGAGGAGGAGGAGGAGGAGGAGGGAGGGAGAAGGGAGGACAACCGGGAGAAGGAGGCAGGTGCGAGGGGAGAACAGGGAGGAGGCAGGGCTGTGGGGCGGAGAGGGGGGCATGAGGCCGGGGTTTTATGGCAGGGTGGCAGCAGCAGAGGCAGAGCGCATGGGGCCAGGGCTGCGTTGGGGGAGGAGCGAGATTGGAATGGGCGTGCTGATGTGCGTGCTGGTGGTGATACTCATGGCGTCACGAACCGATGCCTTGGCATAGGCATGGAGGGCATGGAGGGGAGGGAGAGGAGGGAGGGTAGGGAGGGCAGAGAGGGCAGGGAGGGCAGGGAGGGAAGGGAGGGCACTGAGGACAGGGAGGGTGAAATGGACATGGGGAGCATGGAGGTGGATGTGGGGGAGCTGCTGCTGTGGCTGCATGCCAATGGCGCCACTCCTGACCCACACACATGGCCCTTCAAGGTGCGTGCGTGCATGCATGTATCTGTCTTGTATGGCTGGCCATGGAATGATGGCATCCTATGCATTGCAGTGCCATGCGGTGCCATGCAATGCATTGCAAGCACGCAGATTGCTGCACTCACACTTGACCAACCGTCTATGGATCTGCTCTACTCTCTGCATTGCACAGTGCAAATCTCCTCCCTTTTCCTGCGTCTTCTCTCCCCTCTCCCACACCTGTCTACTGCACTCGCAACCCACCTCTTTCGTTTTGTTCCCGTGTCTTTGGGGCGGCATGGCGTGGTGTGGTGTGGCATGGCATGGCGTGGCATGGCATGGCGTGGCATGGCATGGCGTGGCATTGCATGGCATGGCATGGCATGGCATGGCATGGCATGGCATGGCATGGCACATCGCACGTTATCAGGTGGTGGTGTGTCCGCTGCTGCATCTGCCCCCCGGATCCAGACATGCAGGTCCCAGAGGCAGGTGAGAGAGAAAAGGGTATGCAAAGAGACGCATGGGTTGCAATAGAGGTCGCATGTGGGGGTGGGTGTGAGAGCACGAGGGAAGGGAAGGGGTTGTGTTGTGTGTGGGGTGAAAGAACGAGGGCAGGGGATTGTGTGTACTTGCTTGCAGCATAGAATCTTGCAGCTCATTTAATTCATTGATTTTCTGTCCACTGAGCTTCGATGTATTGGATTCATTGATCCTTCCCCTCCACATGATCCTCCTTCCCTTCACTTCCCAACCCATCCTTCTCTCGCATCGCATCCACTCTCCCCTCATCTCCACCCACCCGTACCAACCCTTCCACGCCTGACCTGGGCCTCGTGGCATCTTGCCACATAGCGCCAGGCGAGCTGCTTTTCTGCATACTCTGCACCTCCCTTCCCACTTCCTTCCACCCATCAACCTCTCCCCCCTCCCTCGTCACCTTCTCTCCTGCACCCCCCTATCCCCAGGCCTGACCTGGGTCTCGTGGCATCGCGCCACATAGCGCCAGGAGAGCTGCTCTTCTGCATGCCGCCCAATCTGCAGATCACTCCCGATCGCATCGCCCCCGCGTACTCGCTCCCTCACACCCACCCCTGCCCCTGCTCCTCTTGCTCCCCCTCGCCCTTTCCTCCTACGCCCACTTCTGCCTCTAATCCTGGAGGGAGTAACCCAGGGAGTGAGAGTAAGGGAGAGGAGAAGGGAGAGGAGAAGGGAGAGGGGAAGGGAGAGGAAAAGGGAGAGGGGAAGGGAGAGGGTGAGGAGGAGGAGCGGTGCGAGGAGGGACTTGGAGGCCTCAACAGAGACTTAGAGCCTGGGAACCCTTTATTCACTGAAGGTGGCAGTGGTGGCAGTGGCAGTGGTAGTAGCAGTGGTTCCACTGGATGCAGCAGATGGCAGGGGAGCAGCGTGGAGAGCACGAGAGATGGTGGCGCTGCTGCTGTGTGCGTCCGTGCAGATCCGGCCTGTTCTGGCGGCTGTGGCGGCAGTTGCAACTCTGACAGCAGTGGCAGCAGCAGCAGCGATGTCTGTAGTAGCAGCGTGTGTTCACTGCCGGAAGACCGGGTGTGCAATGTTGCAGACTCAGCACGTGGTAGTGATAGTAGCACTGTAGTAGCTGAAGCATCAGTAGTTGCGAGTTCAGCAGCATTAGTATCGTCACCATCACCACCACCATCACCATCACCATCACCATCACACTTATCATCTCGATCCCCTAACAGAGGCCTGACAAGGAGCGCAGGCGTGGCAACAACAGAAGCAACAGGAGAAGCAGCAGCACCGGGATCAGCAGCGGTACCAACAGCACCACCACTACCATCAGCACCATCACCAGCACCACCACCAGCACCACCACCAGCACCACCAGCCGTACCAGCAGCACCAGCAGCACCAGCGTCCTCCAATGGGTGGGCAGCGAGCACGGGCATGGCAGCATGGCTGCTGCGAGAGGTGTCCAAGGGCCACGCCTCCCCATGGGCGCCGTACCTCGCCACCCTGCCCCCCCACGTGCCGCTGCCGTCCCTCTTCCCGCTCGCCACCATCCAGCAGCTGCAGTGGCGCCCCACTGAAGCCATGGTGAGAGCTTTCTTGTTGCACACGCGATTCCGTTCCGTTCCGTTCCATTCCATTTGATTCATGCAATGAAAATCCTACCCACATAACAACCGGGAGTCAGGACATTATTTTCTGGGCTCGCCCTAAGAATCTCACAGCAGATATCCACGTGATGACGGTTGTGCTTTGAGTCTTGAGACGTCTCAACCACAACTTCTATCACGTGGCGTTTCATGGCATTCATGGTGGGAGTGAATTGGAGTGAATTCGACTCAAAGGTCGGCTGCTATGCTATGCCCTACTGAAGGGATGGTTCGAGGTAGGGAGTGGTGGAGGGGAGGGAGGAGGGGAGGGAGGGCAGGGGGGGAGCAGGGGAGGATATGAAAGGGGAAGGAAAAGAGGGGATGGAAAATGCGGCGTGAGGAAACGGACAAATGTGGGAGCATGTGGTTGGAAGCCGGAGGGCTACTTGGAGTGCAAATGCAAACTGGATGGCTGATGGCGTACCATTATTGAGGCGCCTCAAAAGATGGCGCATCATTCGCTCCTTTTCTTATTCATCTTCTTCACACCAGGTGCACTGTCCCCCACCCGCATCATCCCCCACCCGCATCATCCCCCACCCGCATCATCCCCCACCCGCATCATCCCCCACCCGCATCATCCCCCACCCGCATCATCCCCCACCCGCATCATCCCCCACCCGCATCATCCCCCACCCGCATCATCCCCCACCCGCATCATCCCCCACCCGCATCATCCCCCGCATCATCCCCCACCCGCATCATCCCCCACAACTTCATCATTTCGGTGGCCGGCCCCTCCTCCTTCCCTCACACATTTCTCATGCTGCACTTCCAACCTCCAACCCAACCAGCCACCCCGAAGCTGCACCCCACCGCACCTCCCAACCACAGGCGGTGGCGTATCGGCATGTGTACGAGCAGGAGTACCGGCAGTGCGCCCCTGACGAGGTGACTTTTGAGTCGACTCAAAAGTCCACTCCACCGCACCCCCAACCCACAGGCAGTGGCATATCGACACGCGTACGAGCAGGAGTACCGGCGGTGCGCTCCTGACTTCATCGCCCATGCGCCCCTCTCCGCCTTCCTCTGGGCCATGACCGTCATCTCCTCTCGCACCTTCTCCTCCCCTTCCCCTCCCTCCTTGCCCTCCTCCGCCTCCGCTGACCCCTCCTCTTCCTCCTTGCCACCTTCAGCCGCAGCAGCAGCAGCAGCGCCAGCAGCAGCTGCGGCGTGTGAGGAGAACAGCTGGGGTGCGCTGCTGCCGCTGGCGGATCTGATGAACCACAGCGAGCACTACAACGTCACATGGACTGTCAGTGCCAACGCCCTCCCTCCCTCCCTCCCTCCCTCCCTCCCTCCCTCCCTCCCTCCCTCCCTCCCTCCCTCCCTCCCTCCCTCCCTCCCTCCCTCCCTCCCTCCCTCCCTCCCTCCCAATCCCCTCTCCTTGCAACTTCCCTCCTCTACCATCCTCGCCATACCCTAAAACCCCCTCCGTTTCTACTCCCTCATACCTTCCCAGATGTAAGGGCGCATGGTTGAAGGTTCGTCAGTGCCCAGGGGATAGCTGCGCGGGCCGTCAACCAAGCGCTGCTGCTTTCCCCCAACACCACAATGCAAATCCGCCCGTTCCCCGCCCCTCCTTCCCATCCTCCCCATCCTCCCCATCCTCTCCTCCTTCCCTATCCTCCCCACGCTCCTCATCCCTCCCTATGCTCTCTATTCTTCTCAATCCGCCCATTCTTGACTGCCATCCCTCGTTCAGAGCTCCTCATATCCCGTGCTACCCTCGTCGACCCTTCGTTCTTTCCCCATTCTGCCACTCTCCTCATCCCCACTGCCCCTCACTCTCTACCTTCCGCAGCCCTTGTCGCCACACCTCTCCTCGCATCCCCCTCTCCTTGCAACTTCCCTCCTCCACCATCCTCTCTCCCCAAGCTCTTCGTGTCTCATAGAAAAGTAGCTTCGTGTCCCCCCCCTTATCCTCCTCTCCTCACATCCCCCTCACCTTGCAACTTTCCTCCTCTACCATCCTCTCCTCCCAAGCCCTTCGTGTCTCCCCCCTGTATCCTCCTTTCCCAATCCCATCTCTTCCTCCCCACGCCCCAATTCCCCCCATCCCAGCGTGCCTCATCAGGCCACTATCTATTCCACGCGATTGCGCCCATCGCCCCCGGTTCTGACCTCCTCACACACTACGGCGTGCGCTCCTCCCACTCCTTCCTCCTCTCCTACGGCTTCTCCCCCCACCCCAACTCCTTTGACTCCCTCCCCCTCTTCCGCTCCTCTTCCGACCTGCTTGAGTTCTTCGCGGAGCATTATTTCCCCGGGGATTTTGGGGAGGAGGATGGGGAGGTGGCGAGGGAGGTGGTGGGGGAGGTGGAGGAGAGTGTGAAGAGTGTGGGGAGGGTGGTGAGGGTGCTGATTGGGGCTGTAGAGGATGGAGGTGGGGAGGGGGTGGGGGAGAGTGGGGATGAGTGTGAGGGGGAGCGGGAGGGGAAGATTGATGGGGAGATTGAGGGGGGAATTGAAGGGGAGAGGGAGAAGGAGACTACTAGACGAATTGATGGGGGAAACGGTGGGTGTAGCGGTGGGGAGAGAAGGGAGAGGGTGACCACTTGTGAGGGGGGCGTGGATGGAGAAGAGGAGGAGTTGGTGCAGATCGGTTGTGATGGGGAGAGTGTGATGGAGGGTGGTGGGAGTAGTGGTGGAGAGAAGGTGGAAAACAGAGGTTCTAGATGTGAAACTAGCTGTGCAAGGTGTGAGGATGGGCAAGAGGAGGGAGCTGTGGTGGTACTGGGTGCTGATGAGGAGGATGGGGGGAGAGGGAGGGCAAGAGAGGAGAGGAGCGGAGCGAGGGGGGGTAGTGTGGAGGAGGAAGAAGATGGGAACAGAAAGTGGAATGGCAAAAGTGGTTTGAGAAAAGCATGTGAAGCTGTGAATGGCTGGACGGAAGACGAAGGAAATACGGATAGAAGAGGGGGGGAGACAAGAGAGGGAAGTCAAGAGGGTGCCGGAATGGAGATCAATCATGCCTTGGATGAGCGGGAGGCGAGATTGCAGGAGAACGGAAAGACGGCGGAGAAAGAGGATGAGAAGAACGGGGGAAAGCAGAGTGACGCTGAGAAATGTGCAGAAGCACATGCTGTCTCTCAAAAACCGGGAAAAACAAATGCCGCAGCGCAGAGCTCACCAGAAAAACAACCTCCGTCAAAGTGCCCCTCGGGAAAGGATTCAGCAGCAGCAGAGAGATCACCAGCAACAGCCACAGTGTACCTGCAGTACGGGACGAGTCTGTACGGGCCAGAGTATAGCTTTGAGGCGGAGAGGGGGTATGCGGTGTGGCCGCATGGGCATGTGGACCCTCGCATCATGGCCTCCTTTGCTGCTCTCTGGCACCTCTTTGTCTATGGCCGCGGTGAGTGTTATTGTGTTGTGCGTGTGAGTGTTGTTTGCGAGAGTGGGTTCAGTGCGTGTGCTGTATGCAGTGCGCAAGTCTGTTTGATGAGTTTGTCGTGCCAAGTATGTTTTAACGTTGTTGACTCGAGGAGTCCGTTCAGTGAGTATTTTTTTTTCGTCTGCGATCAGGGTGATTGTGAGAGTGCGGTTGAGTCGAGTGTGAGTGTGTAGTTGAGGCAAGTGTGAGTGTGTGGGCTTGGTGAGAGAGTGGCCTTGGTGAGTGTGTGGTCGATGTAATTCTTCTTTGTCATTGCCATTACTTGCTCCTGTCGTTAATTGTGCAGTGCACATCACCTTCTAACAGCAGTCTGTCTTTTATAGTTCCTCTCCTCGCTCCACTCCACCCAACCCACTTCGCCTAGCATTCCCTGCCATGTTCAGTCCTGTCTGTTTTCTCCTGTAATCCTGTAATTCTGTAACCCTTGTAAACCTTCTGTATCCTGTAATATTCCCACCCACCCACCCACGATGTAATTCTTCCCCAGCAGCACCCCATACCCTGTGTTAAACCCTGTGATATTGCTAAGGCATCTCCCATCCACCGCAATCCCTTCTGCCCTCCTGCTCCCCCTCTTTTCGTCCCCGCAACCCCCCCCCCCCCCCCCCGTCCTCCTTCCCCCTTTCCCACAATTAGAGCCCCGGCACCACCCGATAGCCTGTGCCAGCGTTCTCTACTGCTGGGGCATCTCCCACCCGGCATTGCACCCCCTGCGCCCCCGCCTCTCCCCCCGCCTGCTTGCATGCCTGAAAGCTGCTCTGGATGGCATTCACGCGCGCTGCTGCACTGTTATTGATGGGTTTGGGAGCCGGTTGGAGGAGGATGAGGAGGAGTTGGCAGGTTTGTTGAAGAGAGAGAGGAGGGGGTTGACGAAGAGGGTGGGGAAGAGGAAGAATGCGAGGAGGGTTGTGGAGGGAGGAGGAAGGGAGGGTCCCGGAGAAGGGGAGGACGGTCGGAGGGAGGAAATTATTGAGATTGAAGAGAATGAGGGGAGTAAGGAAAGCGAGGAAAGTGAGAGTGAGGAGAGTGCGGAGGAGGGAGGGGACAGGAAAGGGGGCATAGCGGAGAGGGAGGCAAGGGAGAGGGAGGTGGTGTTGCGGTATCGGATAGGGAGGAAGAGGCTGGTGGGGGCATTGGAGAGGAGACTGAGGAGGTCGCTTACAGGGGGGTTGAAGGGGATGGGGGGAGGAGAGTTGGAAGAGAGGGCAGTCATGGGGAGGTTGATGGAAGGAAGCACCATGTGGTAGTAAGCATGGCTCATGCTGCAATGGAGTGCTCCTACGTTCCAAGCCTTTACTTATTGATTTCAACCACTTCCATTCTGGGCCGGTGTGTAATGGCTGTGTAGCCAGATGTCTGGGATAGGGTTTCTGATGTTTCCACCCTGTAGTGTGAGGGACGGAAATGTCAAGCAACTTCACTTCCTCATTGATGACATTTGGAAGTCCAACTAAAATATGTTTTTTCGTGCTCTCAAGCTGCTGCTTGCTGGCGGGCACATGCAGCTGCAATGATTTACATGCTCTGGGGTACCTGCCTTAGTGGAGCCTTTGGAGGAAGCCCCCAGAGGAAGTAGGGTATCATTTTTATCGCCACCTACAAGAACTTGGGCGGTGTTGCTGTTCCCTGGGTTCTCTAAGCGGTATTTCATTTATTTAGTTCTGCTACGAATTGAGACGTTGAATTGACACCCAAGCAGAAAACAAGCCTGTTGGGGGGTACCACGCCCCTACCACGCACCTTGTTCAATCAATGTCTCTTTAGTCACAATTATCTGCCATGGTACGGTAAGTCCATTTGTACAAGGTGGGTATGTTCACAACAGACGTCACGTCAGAGAGGAAGCTAATTAGAAATAAACTGCTAACCGTGAAGCACAGCCACGATGGGCCTTGAACAAACAATGATCCATACGCAGTTTGGCAACTCGTGCCATCCACGGCCTTCGAAATTCAGTGAGCAATGAGCGACTGGAGAAAAGTCTGAATTGGCGAAAAGACAGATGTGCACAACGACCGATGGTCTCCGACGCGCTGAGCTTTATTCGCATTCTCTGTTGCTGGCGAGTCACGTTTTCTCTTGCAGGAAGTTAACCTGTTATTTTCCATAAGCTTATTCAACGGAATGCTTTCTGGTACGTTCATTTCGAACCCCCCTTGGTCCTCAACCAAGTCCAGAAGAAATCTGGAGGACTTGAATTCACCTGTGGAACCGAGACCAGGTGTTATGGAGTTCCGTAAATTAATATGAAAAAATTGCAACGAACCACAAGATATCGATTACGTTTCTTGGAATCCCTCGTCTTTCTGCGGGCCGAGGTCGTGGTGGCCAAGTTGATTCTCTCCCATTGCTGATTTGCGGATGGTGACCGGCGTGAGAGAAGAGGAACATCCTCTGCAGATACAAGGTTCAGGTTAGCATCGACTAAAATCTGTCAATGTGAATCACCGTCGTGTGGTACCTCTCCGAATTACGCAGCTAAACACGAAATCGTGAGCGGCCATGGCTTGATGGGACTCCTGCATAGTGAGCTCTGGTCTGGTGGATCGCAGCTGCTGGTGCTGGAAATGATGGGAACGGGGAATGTTGGTGAGGTTCAAATGCACAACACGGGCTGGCTCCAAACCGCAATACGCGTTATTCATATCACCGACTTCCACTTTTGTGAGTATCGGTTCCCCATGTTTAACTACCTCTTTCAGAAACTAGATCATACTTGAAATAATGCAACAATTACACATCGGGCAAGCCAAAAAAAAAAAAAACAACAATTACACATACAATCAAATAATGTTTCATCTTCCACGGTTTACCCCTACAATAAAAAACTGATAATAACAAACGTACCGTCATCACCCGGATATACCCCCATGTGGGGGTGTAAAAAAACATGGAAAAATGGTTGGTGGGCTTATGATGTGATGAATTTTAAAACCTCATGGGCTAAATAAATGACACTTATGGAAATTTGATTTTATAATACTGGAATGTAGATTTCACCCTGGCGATGTAAATCGATGCTAACACAAAGAGGATCGCTACTGAAAAGTTCCGACAATGTGACGTACAGTCAAGAATCCCAGTCAGCACCTACTCAAATGTTGCAGATTTCGCGCACGTGCACCTCCTGCAGCAATTTTTCCAAGCGAGCCAGGGGGGATTTCGTCAGGCACGTCTGTGACGATTCGTTTAGGCGCGTTAGTGGCTATTTCGCTACAAGGAAAACCAGAATTCATTGGGTGCGCTTATACAAAGATTGACAGAAATTGGGGTGGGCTTATAATCGGCAACCGGCTATAAGCCCACTATTACGATTATAACCGCATGGGTGTAACATAGGCCTGGGGGTATATCCAGATGATGACGGTATATTGAATTCTCCAACGATTTATTGTCGATTTCAACCAGGCCCTCAGCTTGGTTTTGAGGGGCGTAAATTGATCAGCGTCGGAACACCCACACCGCGCACCCCCATGCTTGCCACCCCACACCCCCCACCACCGCGGAACGCACGGCGGCACGGGAGGAATGGGCAGCACGGGGGTGGGGGGGGGGGGGGGGGACGGGACAGGAGGGGCCGCGCGCTCCTCCCCAGGGCGCCAAGACGGACGGGCAGGGGGGCGCGCGCGGCTCCCCAGACGGACGGGCGGGGGGCGCGCGCGGCTCCCCAAGGCCGCTCGGCGGGCAGACGGGCCGCGCGCGGCCTGCAGACCCGCGCGCGACCTGCAGGGCGACGCGACGGGAAGGGCGGGGGCCGCGCGCTGCTCCCCAAGGCCGCGCGACGGGCAGACGGGCCGCACGAGCCCTGCAGACCCGCACGCGGCCTGCAGGGCGACGCGACGGGAAGGGCGGGATGTTGCACGCGGGTCCCCCACGGCAGAAAACCGCCGCGCGCCTCGGGGCGCACGGCGGGCAGAAACTCGCCGCGCGCCCCGAGCGCACGGCGGGATGAAAAACCCTAAAAGATTTCGGCACGAGAAGCAGAACAGCAGCGGAAGCAGTTAGGTGGCGGGCCCACCCACAGGATTGACCCAAGGGGGTCGACCTGCTCTGATAGCATGTCAGAACAAACAAAAGTGGTACAAAAGAAGAATGACGAAAGAGGGGTTTCACTAGCAGCAGTTGGGATACATATAGCAAACCCTAACTGGGTTGTACTCGCTATATGTCAGAACATTATAGCTTATGCTGTTGTGTAGGCTATAGTGGGGTATCCCATAGGGGGTACAACCAATTAGGGTTTCATATTTGTACTCACTTCATTTCATAGTTCATCCATTCTTGTTCAAATCTTCTCATGGTATCGAGCAGGTTCCCCCTTGGGAACTGTGCTTAGGGCCCACCACATCGATTTTTTTTTCCTGCCCGAAGCGCGCTCAGCCCGAGTCGCGCTCCGGGCCCTCACTTCGTCGAGCCGCCCTAGCGGCCCTGCACTGCGGCCCCGCCGCCCGTCTTCGCGGCCCCGCCGCCTCTCTCCTAGCGGCCCCCCCCGCCCTACCTAGCGGCCCCGCCGCCCTACCTCGCGGCCTCGCCGCCCCATTGCGCGGCCCCGCCGCCCTACCTAGCGGCCCCGCCGCCCCATCGCGGCCCCGCCGCCCCATCGCGCGGCCCCGCCGCCCTATCTAGCGGCCCCGCCGCCCTACCTAGCGGCCCCGCCGCCCCATCGCGCGGCCCCGCCGCCCCATCGCGCGGCCCCGCCGCCCCATCGCGCGGCCCCGCCGCCCTTCCTCGCGGCCCCGCCGCCCCATCGCACGGCCCCGCCGCCCTACCTAGCGGCCTCGCCGCCCTTCCTCGCGGCCCCGCCACCTTACCTGCGGCCCCGCCACCTTACCTGCGGCCCCGCCCTTACCTGCGGCCCCGCCGCCCTCTGCTGCGGCCCCGCCACCTTACCTGCGGCCCCGCCACCTTACCTGCGGCCCCGCCACCTTACCTGCGGCCCCGCCGCCCTCTGCTGCGGCCCCGCCACCCTATCTGCGGCCCCGCCACCCTACCCGCGGCCACGCCGCCCTTACCAGCGGCCCCGCCGCCCTTACCTGCGGCCCCGTCACCTGCTGCCCAGCCGTGCCGCCCTGCAGCAGCACAGCCGAGCCGCCCAGCAGCCGAGCCGCCGAGCCGCCCAGCAGCCGAGCCGCCCAGCAGCCGCGCCGCCCAGCAGCCGAGCCGCCCAGCAGCAGAGCCGCCCAGCAGCGGAGCCGCCGAGCCGCCGGACCGCCCAGCAGCTGAGCCGCCGAGCCGCCGCGCCGCCCTCCTTCAGGGCCGCCCGACCTGCCCAGTCTAGTGAGCACAGCGCCTTTTCACTGCACTGTCCTCACCCTACTGTTTGCGCTGCTAGTCGTCTAGGGTCATGGCTACCCCTAGTGTTCTCGCCTTTGACGCTGAGGGTAGGGCCATTGACTTTGAGGTCTGGGTAGATGACCTGCAGCTGTTCTTACAGTGCGATAGGGCAGACGGCCTCTCTCTCTTTGACCTCACCTCTGGCACCTCCACTGCCCCTGCTGCTGATGCTGACGCCACTGTTCGCTCCCAGTGGGCCACGCGCGACGCTGCTGCACGTCTTGCTGTGCGTCGCCACCTCCCTACCTCCGAGCGTGCGCACTTTAGTCAGTACAAGAGTGCTCAGACCTTGTACGACGCTGTAGTTGCGCGCTACTCCTCCCCTGCCACTGCTGCACTGAGCCGTCTCATGCTACCGTACCTCTTTCCTGATCTTGCTGCCTTTCCCACAGTCACTGACCTCATTACGCACCTCCGCACTAGTGACACTCGCTACCGCGCTGCACTCCCTCCTGACTTCTGCGCCAGGAACCCCCCCCCCATGTACATCACTCTTTACTACATAGTCACTCGCCTTCCTGACTCCCTTCGCGTAGTCAGGGACCACTTTCTCTCTGTCTGTCCCACCACTCTCACTGTTGACCTCCTCGAGAAGTCCCTCCTAGCGGCCGAGAAGAGCATAGTCGCTGTAGGGGCCTCTCGTGGTGACCCGCGCACCCCCATCTTTGAGGGGTGTTCCCCCTCCCCCCTTCTGCCCTCTGTTGCCTCTGCTGCTGCGGCCGACCTCCTTGTTCTTGAGTCGGTCGGTGCGGCGTCTGCCCCTAGCGGGAGACGCCGCTCTGGCAAGGGCAAGGGGGGCAAGGGCGCTGGAGGAGCGAGCGGGGGCGGTGGAGGTGGAGGTGGCGGCAGTTGGGGGAGTGGGAGTGGCGGTGGGAGTGGAGGTGGGGGTGGAGGGGTCGGTGGCGGCAGTGGA